CATAACCTCTGTATAAATCCTTTTACCACCTGGAAAGGAGGATGTGCTCCTAGAACATAGCACACCACAATATTTCCCCCAAATTTGATTTCAGATTTGATATCCTCCAACCAATTTCCATGTAACATCTCGCAACTAGAAAGAACTAGAAGGAAGTTTATAATTTGGAAATAGTTACTTTTTGAAAGAATGAGGAAATCTGGAATTTTTTAAAGTAAGTTAAAGTGAATTTTTGGTCAACTTCAAATGATAATAACTCCTAGATCAGGATGAGTTAGGTGTAGTTCCAGATATGGTTGGAATGATCTTTCCAACGCCACCAGGTTTGTGTGATTCCGAGTTTGTATGAGTGAGTTATGCCCTTTGGAAGTTGGGATATTGGATTAAAGAAATGTCCAATCCGGAATTTTAAGGGGTATTTTAGTCTTTTTATTGCCCTATTATTTTAATCCATTTTTAGGAGTTTAATATGGGTCAAATCAGATTTTAGTCAGTTTTAGAATTTGAGATTTCACGTTAGGGCTAAGGAGAAAGGAGGAGAGAAAAGAAGAAGGAGAAAAGGGCAAATTCATCAAAATCGATCAAGAAAGTTGGTGTTTCGCCAATGATTTACTTCTATAAGGTATGTGAGGCTCTCATAACGTTGGGATCGTTCTCCCACGTGCCAAGCATATTAATTTCATTTTGGATTCGACCTAAATGAGTTTGAGTATTGATGATCTTGATATCTATTTTCGAATTCATATATTGTTCTTGAATTTGACTAAGATGGGAAGTTTCTGAATTCGTTACGTCTCATCTTAGAGTCATTTCAAGTTAGGTTCTTAGGTACATTTGTTGGTTATCTGTATCTAAAAGTAATTTGAGAAAAATAATCGAATTTAGGTGAATTGGGGTTAGAAATCGAAGAAGAAAATTCGTCGGACGATATTTGATGTCAATGGCGCGTCGCTCCCCCACTCCCCAGTTTTGAAATTTTCTGCTTCGTGTCGCAGAGCTGTAGCAGAGTCTTCTGCCTCAAAAGACGTTCTTCAAACCAAAATTTAATTATGCCTCAGCGTTGCGGACCCACCTTCGTATTTTGATTTTTGGTCTTTTCTCATGTTTAGCTATCTAAAATCATTCCTAAACAATATGAGATCTTTCCAATCAAAAATCAAAAATCTTGAATACATAATTCAATTCAAGGATCAGTTAAGAGTCAAGTCAGGAGCAGTTAAGGTCTAAGTCAGGAGCAGTCAAGAGTCAAGTTAAGATAAGTTCTTAAAATTTTCAAAAGTCTTTCACAAATGTTTTAACTTTGTTTTAAGACTTAAGTTTTGAGTTCAGTAAAGATGTAAAGTTGAAGATCTTCTCTTCAAAGAAGTATATGGGGACTATGTATTCCCAAAGATATTTAAAAATGTTTTCACATTTTAATAAGAACGAAAACTGAGATTTCCAAAAAGCTTTCGGGCTAGTTTTCAGAAAAGAATAATAGCTTTCTAAATGAAGCAAGGAGGGAAACTGAGATTTCCAAGATAACCTTTGAGCTAAGTTTTTTAGAACTAATTTCAAATCACAGAAGAAATATGTTTTTAAACATAAGAGCTAGTATATTTTGGGAGTAGTATTGAGCACCGAATTGGGGGCGAGCAGGAGTTCAGATAACTCACGTCTCCATAAAACCATGTAGCCACCATGGGTAGAAAAGGGTCATACTTTTTAAATGAACCCTTTTCACAATAGACTAGTGTATCCACTTAGTAGTTCAGGTCATATACCTTTGGCCGAGTATAGGATGCGCTGACAACGTGAGGTAGATCGTTGTATCATCACTACAGCGCTTATGTGATGGTTGTCGGATAGAGAAACTCCCACAAAAGTTATTGTATATATATTTATACATAAGTTTATTGTATTTTTACATACATTTCAAAGTT